GCCACTCGGCCGGCCCTAAATATTATTTTAAATTATGGATACCATATAGCTCAATACCAAATATGATCCTGTGGCCTCAGCGGAGGAACATATAACACATTTAGGCATTTAAAAATAAAGCTTTAATAACATTTTTATTAAGAACAGTGATTTGCCTGTTGTTCATGATGTTGTACCTTTATTAAATTACTGGTATTGGAAGTTTATTGAATGTTCCATAAGTGTGTTTAAATTATATGTCAGTAATGTGTATGGTTGACCTTATTTTTTTTATTTATAAGTATCTTTATTAATCTAGAAAAAAGTTAATGATTTATTAAGTATTGAAGCAAGTTAAATACAATTTGTATAGTATGACCATTTTGTATTACACATGAACTCCCTGTTTATAGAAGAAACCTTAGAAACAGGGATAAGAAAAAAACAACACTGATAATTTGAATACCTAGAGAATCTACTCTTAATATTTTCATTCTTTCAAACTTATAAAACTAAGCAAAAACTGACCCTATGTTTTAATTAACATACTAGTTCATACAAGGACATACTGTCTTAAACTATAAAGAATTGTTCTTGACCAGAAATGCAAATTGACTAAGACAATTATTTGTTTAATTTTTCCTCCTGGTTGGAGTATGCTGTGTTTAAACATAAAAGATTTGAACCAATATTATGAGTATCCGCATAGTTGAAGTTTTGTCTGGTAGAGCCTACAAATAATGATTACATTTATTTAAAAAGCAGTATGAATTAATTAACAATGAATTTATATTGTAATTCCAAATGTATCCTTTACAAATATTTTAATACTGATGCTAAATCTTTATAAGTTATCCCCTCTGCTATTACTTTATTAAATAATGGGAAGCCTGTTCTCTGCTGCAGGAACCATCAGTGAGAAAATGTAGCCTGTAGGTTTTGCACCTTTTTTGTTTGTTTATCCCATTTAAGCATGAATACTTTTTTTTTGTTTTTAAAGATTTTTATTGGGGAATTGGGGGGATGGNTGATTGGTCTTATAAATGGATTCTATTTTTATAGAAAGCTATCACTTAGGACTAAATTAGATAATTGTCAAATTCCCATCTTTCTCTCAGTAAAAATATATATATATATATATATATATATATATATATATATATATATATATATATATATATATATAAATCTAAATAACGAAGGAATACTCAAGAGGATCAACTTAAATCCTTAAATACTGAAGCTGAAAATTCACGTCAGAGGTGAAAAATGTGTTAAAGAGTGATATATTGTGGGAATGTATCTAAAGTTAATAACACTTTTCCAAAATTATTTTGCTCCAGATTGTCTTTCTTCTGTTACAAGCATAAAAGTAAAAAATATATATATTCTTTTAGCATACACTTATTGAGATGCACTATAAGCTTGGTGCTTTGATGTTGTGACTACAAAATGTATTATGAGACCTGATCCTATCCCTTGAAGAGTGACAAACTCAGTGCCTCCATTATGGCAGGCCATATTCCAAAGTATATTATATACCATTTCACTCTTATATAGTCCTCTAAGGTAATCATTGCTAAACTTAATTCACAGTTGTGAAGTGAGGGGCCAGAACGGTTAAATTAGTTACTAAGCCTGTGAATGGCTACACTGGTGGACAAACCTACAAATTTAAACTCAATTCTAATTCCGCCATACTGGCTTACAGAATGAAGCTATTCTTTTAAAGGTGTAATACTGCTGGAGAAAAATATTTTTTAAGAAAATTTTAAATGATACCTACAAAAATTACAGGAGACTAAACATCTCAGGTAAAATTGAGAAGCTTTCAAAATATGAAATTATCACATTGTATATACCAAAACATGTACATAATATATTTTAAGTATATTTAACCCAAGCGCTGAAATCCAGTCGCCAATCTTGCGTATAAATTTATTTGACTTTTGTTCATGTTTTTAAAAAATAATTCATAAAACTTCCTCATTAAACTTATAGTGTGTGTATCAAAATCCAACAAACCAACCCTATACAACAGAATTGAATTCAATTGAAGGGGATTCTCTGTGGGAGATTCTTTTTCAGATTTAACAAAGAATTCTGCGATTCTTTCTGAGATTAGTTTTATGTGATTTGAATGCAGTTATATGTGTTTTTACAATATAAATTTGAAAATGAAACACAAGTGTATTAGCTGTCAAACTGTTAGACAATAACCTGTTTACTGATAATATTTATCACCTCAAAATTCTTGCCATCGCTATACTCAAGACTTCAGCTAATTAAGTAGACCATGATGTTCACAGAAGCATAATAATAATAACCAAGCTGGAGGGCCACCGTGCTCCTTCCTTGTAAACAGACATTTTGAAATACTGTGGTGGTTTTCAAGACAATTTGAGAAGGAGTATCCCTTAATTATTTCCTTATGCTGAGAAAGAACAAGCTATTTGTCTGTGTTTAAAGTTCAGCTCCTTTATTTAACTTTAAATAAAGAAACTCTTATTTCTCTCACTTGCCTTTTTACTCAAGTATAGGTAAAACCCTCAAATTGTAACATAGGATATAGACTTTTTGGTACCTAGAGTTTCTCCATTATCTACATTTTTTTTTCTCACATAGGCAAGAAATTTGCACACGTTCACAGGACCTTTCCTCGTGCTTATGCATCCTCTCTGATGACATCTAACATTATTAGCCTAATTTTACCCACTTCTGCCACACCCAACCCCCCTCATGATCTGGTGTTTCCTACCCTGAGGTCACCCTCCAGATCCGTCCCACTCCCTGTGTGTTCCCTTTTATGTTTTTCTCCTGCTCCCCGATCTGTGCCCAAACCATTCTTCAGGATGACAGTGCCCTCCCTCCAAATGCCAAGCGTTTTATTTTTTTAATCATCTCAAGACTAATTTTAAACTGTTTCTTCTTTAGGAAGCTCAAACTAATGAACTTTACTCCTTGATTTATTGTATTCCTTAGTATTCCCTAGCATTCACGTATGATCTGGAATCACTTCATAGAATATTAGATTGTTTGATCTAGAAGGTATCTAGGGTCCTGCTGCTTAAATTGTGTTCAAGGACCATCATCATGCATAGGCATCAGTTGGAGTTCTGTAAAATGCAAATTTTAGCACAACCCCAGACCTACTGAACCAGAATCAGCATTTTAACAAAAACTTCAAGTAATTCATATGTATGTGAAAGTTTCGGAAGCACTTTCCAGGTGTATTGGCATTGTGCTAACTTAATTTTTTTCTCTTCTGTCATGTCTGTCCTAGCTTCCCAGCTAGGCTTTAAGTGTAAGAAGGGAGTGTTTGTTTGTTTGTTTTTTAATGTATCAAATCTTCTTAAATGAGAAAGGAAACTTTGATAGAGTATGCCAATATAACTAAAATCTCCAAGTCTTAGTGGAAGATGCAAAAAAAAAAAAGGGGGGGGGGCTTGAAAAAATAGAAGTAAGAGCCCCTAATTTGTTTCTATTTTTTTTTATAAAATGGGAGGGGAGCAACCTAGCCTAGTATACCTCCAGGTAGATATACATGTGTTGCTCATGCTGGCAAAACATGAGAAGAGAAAGGATAGGGTCTGAAGGAATGTGAGGGGTCCATATTACAAAAATGGGGTTTTTCAAGAAAAGGTGTGCTTGTGTGTTTTTGTGTGTGTTAGAAACAGAACCAGCCAGGGAGCGAGAAAGAGAGAGAAGCACTGATTGTTGGATTGAAAGTTGTAACCTCTATTCTTTTTGTTTTATAGCTGGTAGAACCCTTAACTCCCAGTGGCACAGCGCCCAATCAAGCTCAACTTCGTATTTTGAAAGAAACTGAGCTCAAAAGAGTAAAAGTACTTGGCTCGGGTGCTTTTGGAACCGTGTACAAAGTAAGTAAAAAATAATACATACCATCAGCTATTTGTTTTCCAAACTTATTTTAAATAATCGCCAGAGTTATTGCTATAGCCAACATAATTTACTTTTAATATTCAGGGAGGAGAACATTTATAGTACTGAGATGTTGATGCACAAATGAGTTCACTAATTTTTATTAAGCAAGTTGGAAACTGATATAGACATGAGAAATCAGAGAACAATGGTACATAGCCAAAGTATAGTTCTTTCTCTCGGTGCCTTTCTGAGCACTTTTTGGTATCTTCTCCCTTTTGGCAAATGTTGCCCTTATCCGAAATACCCATTTTTTCCTTTTCCTCTACACAGTGCTCCATGAAATCGCAGACAGGCCTGGGCAATGTGCCATTATCCCTCATTCTTCTTTTTTTTCTGTTCTTTTATCCAAGCCTCTCCTCACTTAACCAATCTCTTCAGAATCCACACAAACGTGCTGACACCTCAGTAGGACAGGACTTTTTGTCTACCTGGTAACATGTGCGAATTCACAGAAAATTTCCAGCTTTGATATCCTCACCAATATATGCAAACTAAAAAAAGTGATTTTATTTGTGAAATTCAGGTCAGATAGAAGGAGAGAGTGACGTCATGGGTTTTCAATAAGAGAAGTATGACTGAAAAGGGAAAGCTCAAATGATGGCATATGCATGTTTACTAATTTAGCTTAATGACAAAACCAATTCAGAGGCCAGGCCTAAGGTTAATTGTGGTAAAATTTATTTTTAATGGTAAATTACTAGAATAAGAAACTCTGCTTGTTTAGTACTAAGTTGTTCTTCTAATGTCCATTAATCTAGTTCACAAATTTACTTTGCCAGTCTTATATATTTCTTAAAGCTATATGCAAGCCTACATTTTTACAAACATATCCATCAAAATAGATTGATCTTAGGAATTTTGCATTTTAAAATGTTCATTATTTTTCTATTTAAAACAAAGATTTAACAGAAAATATTAACAATTAAAATGTAAACCTTAATTTTCTTTCCTGAGTATTCCAAAAATAATCAAATCCCTTTAAAATAAAACTTCGATTCTAAACTCAAAATGCTGAAGTTTCTTGATATGTTCGTATGCATGCTTTATTCAATTAAATTCAAAATTATTAACTGAACACTTAATTTGAATAGAAACTATTCTAGGCTAGCTTGGTGCCTTCTAGTTTTCAATTCTTTGTGTTTCAAAGAATCACAACATATCCTATCTGTTTTTCTATTTTTATTATGCTACAGAAAAAAATGGACTCCTATTTAAAAGACAACTCAGTCTTGGGTTGTTCCTAGCATATTATCATTCCTATGATTTTAAGATTATATGATCTGGACCTTGAATATTATTTTATTTTTTAAAGATTTTTATTGGGGAATTGGGGGATGGGAACAGCACTGGGGAATTGGGTGAAGGGGAACAGACAAGTTGCTGTCCTTTTGTTCTTCAGTATAGTTGTGGAGGACATTGCTTCACTGGCCCAAGTTGGCACCATCATTGCACTCTTCCTGGGCGAGGCAGATCAGTTGCAGCTTCTGGATGGCCGCTCATGGAGGCTGCTGGCCGCTCACGCTGGCTGCTGGCTACACACGGTAGCCCATGGCAACCCACTGCAGCAGGGACTGCAGCCTATGCCAT